GCCGGCAAGTATAAATATAAATAAATAGTCTGCCACAGATCAGAACATTGAGTCTAGAGCATGTCTCTTACGAACACACTCATGTTTAAGGATTTTTCCTAGCTATCTGTCCAAAATTCATATAATTATCACTCATGTATTTAAATTTTATTTTGATAACCATTCATGTGTATTAGTAGTATTACCAAATTCTATCACGGTCAAGTAAAAATAAGGTTGAGGAAATCTCCCCGTAACTAAATAAACCGTATCAAACTAACTGGAACACTAGTTGGAATTCTTTTCCATGGTAATACTTTTGTTCTTTCAGTTAGCCTACTAATACAGATGCAATCGGAAACCACATATGGACAGGTTACCGGCATAATTGTTAATTGGTTTCATAATTTAAACCAAAACTAATACCAATATTAACATTTCTACAATATTCATTACTTTAATATTACTAAACACAAAATACTTACTACCTATACGTCAAGTTATTAACCAACGGCTATTAACACGCATTGTTTTATTATTATTACTGTAATCCCATTTTTTATAGCTCAAATAATCTTCACCCAAATTGTCATTTTAAGTGTGTTAAGCATAAAGGCAGATTTTTTTAAAAATTATTACATTATTACATTTCCCGACCAGATGCTGCCGCCTTCTTTTTGATTTATCTTTCAGCTTACCAATACCCGGAGGATTCTTCCTAGTCTTGGTAACCTTCGGCGCACGACGATCCCATCCAATTCGGTATCGAACCAACATCACGTTGATTCTGGTGGGAGAGTAGTGTAGTGGCATTGAACAATAACCGCACAATCCACAAAGCTGAACACGAGACTACTCAGAAAATAGATATTCAATATTTAACGCGGATAAATACCTAACGATGGAGAAGGCGCGAACAATGAATTGAATGGACTGGAGTTGATCGAGTGGCATGGTTCGTCCATGCAGACGTGGTCCATCTCAGTGTTACCTTATATCTTCTATTCATATTAAATACATTATTCTTTCTCTAGCCTAACCTTGTTCCTCATCATGTATTGGTAATTGATACGATACAGTGAGTTGGTGTAGTCGATGGTGTGACTTCCACGTAAGATCTTATAGATTAGGCAGTTATATCATGACAAATCGACAAGTTTAGGATTAGGTTTATTATTAGAGCAGTACTAATATCATAGTAGACCATAATTCTACACCTTTACGTCATAATCCACTTATCTGCCTGGCAAACTCCTTCGCCTGATCACAAGTAGAGGGATATCAAGCAATCATCAACATAGAGATTGTTCTTGACAGCATCTATGACATAACGATCGTAACCATCAGAGAATGTTTGGGCTGTCTTATGGCAAAGTTCACACAAAACGGCTATGATGTGGCACCAGATGGATGAGAGGTCATTTGAAATGTAGATAGTTCCCTCGACATGTCTTCCCCCTTCCACCATAGAAATCTTAATGCTCCTCGATCAGCCTCAGGAGCCTTCACTTGTATGAATATTTCCTCCACGTCTACAGAGATTGCAAATGCCTTCTTGAGAAAACTCAATAATACACACACTAGCTCAGCACTGGTGTCAGGTCCTTGATAAATCATATCATTTAAAGAAATCCCTGCAAACTTGACGGCACAATCAAGGACCACTCTAAGTTCTTCTGACTTTTTCGGGTTTAACACTGCATGATGAGGTAAATACCATCGAGCACGATAAGTTGGCTGCAATTGTATTTCAGCGACCTTCTCCGTATATCCCTCAGTAAAATACTTTCAATAATTTTGGTATACCTGATGTGCAGACTGTCATGCCTCGACAATCTACGCTTCAAACTCTGTAATCTACCGTTTACTACTTCATAATTCTCCACTTCTATATTTGGATTCCTTTTTGATGGTATCGGAACAATGAAATGACCATTATCTAAGCGTATGCCCCTTTCCACATTTTCATTGCCGATTTAGTCGGCTTATGCCCTGGTATACTTTCCACGATCAGAGCTCCTTCAGTCATTACGTGTTCAGACCGATCCGAAGAATATACCTCGAAAGGCGCATTCGATCTTGAACTGTAAGCGCTAAAAATCATGAACATTTTTAAACAGCGTGGTCATCGAAACACATACTGCATTTAGCTTTTTCTGTCAAACTATTCCACTGCCCCTATTGCAAGTGATAATTCGTCTTTATGTTATTTCCCTTTCTTGAACGATTCATCAACCGTCCAAATCTACTACTAGCTACTCTCGCACGAGATGCTATAAACTTAGTGAGCTCGGTAAACATCGGCTCTCTATCGTCTTCAGTTAATTTATCCAACAAGTCCGCCCACTGAGCTTGCATGCATTACTATTCTCTCTAACGTAATTAAAGAATTTAGATCGGCTGTATACTTCATCTATTCTAAGACCATGGCACAATTTTCCATTCTTGTAGCTAGGTTTGATAGCTGCTCCGATTCAGTGTAATCAAAATTTCAGTTTCGAATAAGTCTTCTAAAGTTTCTCGAGCAATTACATGTGCCTGTCCGAACAATCGTTTTAGAATTTCCCTGGCCCTTTTATAGCTAGCAGAGGCATCCAACATGACATACCCCTCATTGGCTGTTTTCGCTCTACTCTTACAACAATGTATCAAATGAAGCAGGCCTTGACAATCATTCATGATCTTTGATTATACATAGGTCTCAAACTCCCTTAAAAATTTCAAGTAACCTCTTGGTTGTTCGTAGAAATGACTCAATTCAATCTTTGATAGCTCTATATCTACGACAGGCAGCATAGACATTACGCTCTTCCCTGGTTTCACATATAAACTAAGATTTTCTACTAAGTCTGCCAGTGAATCACAACTAGATTCACTATCATGATAACTGTCTCTATTCGACTCTGAACCATGACACATAAGGTCATCAAAGGGCACTTGCCTTTTGAGAGGGGATCTATTCTTTTGTACGTCTCCCGTAATACCGACGAGCTTTGAGCCTAACTTCCCTTGATGAGTATCTGGCATCACGACAGAAAGAACTGAATATCTTCGGGAACAAAACTTGTGATTCACGAAGCACGAGCCAAGTTCGACCAATCGATTGATATTTGTTTAGAACTTTTAGATTCAAACTAAGGTTTGGACTGAAGAACAGCTGTCTAGGTGGGCTAGCTGCGCACCCTTGCCCCTTTGAAACTAAAGCAAAGCGACTGGGCGAGATGACGATGCTGAAATTCGTTATAAATTTAAACGCACATTATTATCTAAATAAATATGACCACCCAGCTATTCAACCAATACTTGTTCAATTAATCAAATCTAAATTACAATAAATAAGGAAGTTGATAAAGGATGCGAGAAAATTACCAATCACGACAAATAAATGTTATTCTATCCTGTCTGGATAGATCATGCACAGATCCATTCAAAAGGTAGTGTGTGGTTACTTTGTAACACAGTTTTTCCAATCTGGAGGAGTGCTTCAATTCACAATCAAAAATGCACAATTCCAGTCAATACAAGCAACACAATCAAAAGGAGGAACAAACCAATGTGGCTGCCGCCAAGACTAGGTATCACGTAAAACAACATAAATGCAGTTCAGGAAGAAACATGGAAACTTAGTGAAGGCGTAAGAAAAATAAAAACGATAATAAAACACAAATATTACCAACTCAAATGGAATCAAAATGTCTAACAAAATTAACAACTAAAGGAATCAGTAAGAACAAACTGCAAGAGTATACATGGAGGGATTTTCACTCACAAAACCTTCAAAATGGATCTTACACACGAAGCATTGTGTATGCGTTTATGTGGGAATATTGTGCCGCCTACAGCCATTTTGTTTAATGGACATAAATGTGCAGATCTGTCACGATTCTCATGATAACTCCATATCTAATGTTGTACATTCTAACTCAGGCATTTAAGTCTCCTATCAAGATTTTCAGGTCGTTTTATGGGCAGTTTGCTAAGATTGTTTGCACTCTCTCGTGAGACTGATCTTTATCGTCGTCGTTGCTATGGTTGTTGGGTATATAACATTCAATGTGACCTTCTTTGTTCTGAAGAATGATTTAATGCTTCTGTAACCATTTAATACTTATCTTGTAAGTGCTGTTGGTGCTCTTTTTAGAAAGCATCAAAGCGACTTCCTGAGTGTGCGGGGCATTTCACCTTTCGCGACCGGAATACAACAGTACCTCTTCGGAATCCAGTCCTTGCTATCCAGCTTGGGTCCGATGGGTTTCGCTGATCATTAGTATTGTCAAGTTCTATCTCCTCATTTCTGTAGCTATTTGACTAGTACTCCCGTACTCCAACATTTTTCGGACGTTCCATGTGCCTATGTCAATTGTTGCTCTGGTTGTTAGAAAGGGTATCGCCCTCGTGACGCCGAAAGAATCTCGGTTTTCATCAGGAGGCGTCATAATTCTTTACTGGACTCCCATGGCAGAGTTTAAATTTTTTAATTTTTTTATTACTGTTGGCGTGTTTTCTTGGCCAGATCGTTTTGTACGGGATGAGGTTGGTGAATCCATGCTCAACCCGGACTTGAGACCAGCAGTAGCCCTTGAAGAGCCACGGAAAGAGCCATACATCAAAACTGCTTTGCCACATTCAGAACACGACTCGGACAAACAGTCATTCTCCCGTTTAGTCTCGACAAATTTGACAGTTTGAATAACATTCACATATGAAGCGGTTTAACAACGCTGACGTCATAGTCTTTACAAAGGAAATTATCTCAAAGCAAGTTAGAGGAAGAGACGATGATAGGTGATTCAAAATTTTTATTCCATCGTATGGTTCGATAACGTGATTTGTGACTTTCAAGTTGATTAGTTATCAGTCGAGGTGCATTTCAGAACGAGTTGTTCAAATGCATTCGGTGAAATGTCGAATACAACGAACATGATTAACCTGATGGTCAAATGATTTTGAGCTATTTATGAAAAGGGATTGTTTACTGTTATATATTTGAACGTTGTTGAACATGGCCCAATATTTGCCCTTGAGATTGGGGTTCGTTATCATTTTCCAAATGTAGCGTTACAAATGTTCAGCGACCTCCCTGTTGAATTACTGCAATGTATTTTTATGTTACTCTCTCCTTGTACTGATTTACTCACAGTACTCAATGTCTGCAGACGGTGGAGAGAGGTTGGTCAGAGCGTCTTCAAGCTGCGTGAAAGTCTTAGTCTATCTGCATTTAAAATGCAGAGGCCATTGCAATGGGTATCTCCACAGCTAGCTTCCTGTACAGAACGTTTCAAACACACATCTCCATCCAAGAGGTTTGGAGCAACCATCATATTGAAAGAGCAGTTACTGTATGTTTTTGGTGGTGCTACGAAGGAACTAACAGCTTTTAATGATTTATGGACCTATGATTTATCCACCTTCAGCTGGCAGCGTCTGATTGGTAAAGGTCAGTTAACTTTCTACTGCTGTCAAATGATATATTTGCCCAGTTAAGCGGCTAGTTTATTTCACATACTGTGTTCGGATTCCATTTTGGATAAGGTTTCAGGGTGAGACTAACATTTATGAACGAACCAATCAGATTTGCGATAACAGATCTTGAATTTCAGTACGAAAATTTTCATCTGTTTGGCTAAATAGTATCTTAGCATTTTAGATTGTGTCAGTTCGTGATGAGACCCCTAAGTCTAATCCCTATCCCTAACCATCAACTGAAAATCATTCAAACAGGTCTAAAGCCCTCACTCTTCCCTAATCAGTAGGTGGATATTCTCAAGGCCACTTTAGTATCGCTCAAAAGTCGTCCATAAATTGTAGTCTTACCGATTTTGGGTCACCATTCCGAAGTTTAGTGACTTTCCATAACTTTCTTCCGGAGGCTATTAACTATGGCCGATAACACTGTTGCGGATCCAAAGAATTACTCGACGAGTTCTGTCCTCATCACGTCTTTAACACTTCATACATGTCAAAGTGAGCTTTCGGGTTGTCTTTCTGGTTAGTAATTATTCTTCAGTGAGGTTCTTTCTGAAAAATGCATTCGTGGGCTTGGAGAGCGCAGATAGGCGATGGTCTGTATTCCAATGTTTTCGAGTTTTGCCGTGCTGTTCAATCAAACAAGACTGGTAGTAATCGACTAGTATTTAGTTCAAGATAGATGTCCTGATTTTAGACTTGATACTGTGTAAACCTGCGGGGTAAAAATTATCATCATTAACTCTGTACTCAAAAAGCGAACTTCTATCGTCTACGGTGTAAGTCATACTGTTCAAAATTGAGCTCTCGATGACGAATAGCTTGTATTTTAGTAAGGTTAGGGAATAGTTAAGTGAAACCTATCACGCTATTTATTTATTTATTTGAACACATACTGATACAAGGGAGCACCAGATACATATGCGCCACACAAATCTCATTTGATATGTGTTAGGGCTGTGATACTGCCCAGGTGCTTAGACCGAAGCAGGTGGTTTTCCTAGGGGGCCACACCCCGAGCCTTCGACTTAAAGGTCTGATCCGCAAGGCAGTTGAGCATCGTAAGGAGATGCAGTCTCATAGAAGCCGGTGACCAACGATTGGTTCATACACCATTTGTTCCCTCAGGATACTGGAGCCCATGTGCACCATTGGTTTGGAATCCGGATTTTCCAGCACCCCTAAGTTGACTCTCTGTGTCCACCAACCCGATTAAGGCTCCGGACATTCGCTTTTCGTTCTCTCAATTTCTTAAACAACACCCCCGCCACGAGAAGGCAGTGAGTAGGACTTCCCTGGTAGAGGCTGTGTACGCGTGGCCATGTGAGGGCATTTCAAGAGGGAGAGTGGACTCTCCCCACTCTCGGCCGTACCAGGGAATTTGGGGGCGAATCAAGTTACCAAGATGGGCTCCAGTATCCTGCGGGAACAAATGGTGTATGAACCAATTGTTGGTCACCGGCTTCTATGGGACTGCATCTCCTTACGATGCTCCACTACCTTGTGGGTTAGACCTTTAGGTCGAAGGCTCGGGGAGTGGCTCTCTAAGAAAACCACCTGCTTCGGTTTGGGCACCCGGGTAGTATCACAGCCCACACACATATGATGAACTCTCTGTGCCTATGGAAATTAATTTTCTCGCTCCGAAAAACAATCAATTGATTCAAATTATTATCATTACAATTATTGTCATTATTAATACTATTATTATTATTACTATTATTGTCATTATTATTATTATTATTATTATTATTATTATTATTATTATTTTCCACATTATTCACCCTCTTTTATACTTATACAGCGGCTCGTCTTTGGTGGAAATTCGACTGTATCTAAACGTTCTCGAGTCACTGTCCGGTTGAAAATTGTATGTTACCACCGAATGCGAGGACTGAAGCAGTTTTTCTGAAACCACGTGCGCCATTCAAACTGGCTGCCTTCAACGTTCGCACACTTATGCAGGTCGGACAACATATAGGGCTGGCTATGTCTTTGGAAAGTCTTCATATCGATGTCTGCTGTCTATCCGAGACCCGTATTCAAGACTCTGGTGAAGTACTACAAATTCGCTCTACATCTGTCGCTTCGAAAAGCTTGTTTTACGTGCGCTTATCCGGGGACCCTGTGGCATCTTCCTCTGGTCTTGCTGGCGTTGGTGTCGCACTGAGCGCTAGAGCTGAGGCAGCACTAATCGATTGGATCCCCATTAACAGTCGGTTATATGTTGTTAGATTAGAAAGTTCCATCAAAGTGAGAAGAAATCGGCGTGAGAAACGATGTCTTTTCGTCATCTCCGCCTATGCCCCGACAGATTACAGCCCGGATGCAATCAAGGATGAGTTTTACCAACAGTTATCTGTTCTTCTCCAGAAAGTGCGTTCGATAGGTATTGTAGTACTAGCCGGAGACTTGAATGCTCAGGTCGGGCGTCTAGGCACAGAAGAGAGTCGTTTAGGTGGCCGATGGGGACTCGTTGGTCGCAGGTCAGATAACGGGGACCGTCTACTGCAACTTTGCACAGACCACAACCTGTTTCTGGCTAGCACTAACTTTCGGCACAGTCATCGCCGATGTGCCACCTGGCGTCCTCCCTCTGCATCCCAAGCCTGGACTCAGAATGATGACATCGCGATCAGCTACCGCTGGCGTGGTTGTGTACAAGACTGCCGCTCCTTTTGGAGTACCTATCTGGACTCTGACCATGCCTTGGTCTGCGCCAATCTTGCCTTACTTTTCAGTGGACAACGAAGTGACCGCCATCAACGGATTGATATTAGCAAGCTGGTTGCAACTTCTGTTGCAAGTAAGTATCGATTTGAGCTAGGCTCTAGGCTAGCTACCACTCCACCGAAAAGTATAGATGAGCATTGGTTGCAATTGCATGACGCCATGAAAATGGCGGGAACAGTCAGTTGTGGGTTCGCGAAACGTCCCGCTTATAAGCACTGGGTTTCTTCTGGTTCCTTGCAACTCATTGAAGCCCGTCGGTCTACTCCGGGTAACCGTGAGTTTGACCACAAACGAAGGATGATACGTAATGAAATTGGGCAAAGCTTGCTTGAGCACCGAGAAGCCTGGTGGTCGATGCGTGCTAATGTGCTGGAAGCAGCAGGTGCATCTGGTAACTACCGGAAGCTCTTCCAACTCATCCGAGCCACTGGCAGCAAGAAGTCTGGTGTGAGTGAAACAATCTGCGAGGATGATGGGATGCCAATCACTATCATTCATCGACGTCTTGGACGATGGGTAGAATTCTTCGAAGGGCAGTCCAACTGGCCTGTTGCTCTGGCAACATCGGTCAGACTGTCCTGCCCTCCATGGCCGGTAACGACTGGTCCACCAATTGAGGCAGAAGTGTGCAAGGAACTCCAACTCTTGAAGCGCTACAAATCACCAGGCCGAGATGACTTACCTCCGGCCCTTTTTAAAGATGGTGGTGACTTTCTGACTGAGGAACTGACTGTGTTGTTTACAAAGTTCTGGGAAATAGAGAGTGTTCCAACATCCTGGAACGAGTCGATAGTTATCCCTATCTTTAAAAAGGGTTCACGTCCTTATTGTAACAACCATCGGGGTATAGGTCTACTTACGATGTGGTCCAAACTATTGGCTTCTGTCATACTTCGTAGGTTGTTCAGAACCCGAGAAAGATTGACTCGCGAGGAGCAGGCTGGGTTTCGTTCTGGTCGAGGATGTATTGATCATATCTTCACCCTCCGCCAAATGCTAGAACACCGCCATACTTATCAAAGGCCAACAATCGTAGTGTTTCTTGACATTAGGGCTGCCTTCGTTTCGTTGGACAGGGCTGTTCTCTGGGATTGTCTATTGAATAAGGGTGTGCCTGAGAAGTTTATTAACATCCTAAAAGCTCTATATACAAACACCTCAGGCAGAGTGAGGGCATACAACCACCTCTCTCCATTGTTCCATTCGAACAGTGGGGTTAGACAGGGTTGCCCAATCTCACCATTCCTCTTCAACTTGGCCATCGATGACATTCTGGAAACAGCTCTGATGAATGTAAATAATGGTGGTGTGGATCTGTTGCCTGGAGAAAGACTTCTCGACCTTGAGTATTCGCATGATATTGTCTTACTGTGCGATAATACCCAAGGCATGCAATCCGCAATTAATCAGTTGGCAATCAGTGTCCGTAGGTATGGTATGTGCTTGAGATGGTGCTTTGCACCTTCGAAGTGCAAAGTACTTCTACAAGACTGGGAGGATCCTAATCCTGTACTCACCCTGAATGGTGAGCAGATAGAAGTAGTCGAGAAGTTCGTGTATCTAGGTAGCTATATAAGTGCTGGTGGGGGCGTGAGTGATGAGATCAATGCACGAATAGTGAAAGCCAGAGCGGCTTATGCCAATCTGGGCCATCTTTGGCGCCTTCGTGATGTTAGTCTGGTTGTAAAAGGTCGGATCTACAACGCGTCGGTGAGAGCAGTTTTGCTCTATGATTATGAAACCTGGTCTCTCCGAGTTGAGGACGTTAGACGACTTTCTGTGTTCGATCATCGCCGTCTCCGAAGGATTGCTGACATTCAGTGGCAACACCATGTCAGTAATGCAGAGGTTCGGCATCGTGTGTTCGGGCACAGAGATGATAATTCAATTGGTGTCACCATCTTGAAACACCGACTTCGGTGGCTTGGACATGTTCTCCGAATGTCGTCCCAGAGAATTCCACGTCGTGCATTATTTGCCGACTGTGGGATTGGTTGGAGAAAGCGGAGAGGTGGTCAGTACATGACATGGTGTCGTGGTGTGAAAGAAAGCTGCAAAGGACTGGCTTCTGTTGGTCCTTCACGACTCCCTGGTTGGGGTCTGAGAGATGGTGCTACACAGTGGCTAGAGACATTATCAGATATGGCTCAGAATATAAGCTAGTGGCGATCCTGGTGTAACCTTCTTTTACTTTCTTCATAAAAAGTGGTTGTGTCCGTTACCCGAAAGATTTCTTCCGATTGTACCTTTCCGTTCCCTCATTACTACCACACTACCTTACTCCAATCTCTTCGTTATTGTTCTCTTTTTTTTCTATTTCTCCTCGAATTCTCATTGTTTTGTGTGGCGCATATATATTGGCGCCCTCTTGTACCAATATTTATGTGTTCAAACAAACAAATCGAAGTAAAGACCCCCAAATGCACTGGTACGGTTGAGAGTGGGGAGAGTCCGCTCTCCCTCTTGAAATGCTCTCACATGGTCACGTGTATATAGCCTCTACCAGGGAATTCCTACTCACTGCCTTCTCGTGGCGGGGGTGTTGTTTACGAAAATGAGAGGACGAAAAGCGAATGTCCGGCGCTTTAACCGGATTCCAAACCAATGTTGCACATGGGCTCCAGTATCCTGAGGGAAAAAATGGTGTATGAACCAATTGTTGGTCACCGGCTTCTATGGGACTGCATCTCCTTACGATGCTCCACTGCCTTGTGGATCAGACCTTCAGGTCGAAGGCTCGGGGAGTGGCTCTCTAAGAAAACCACCTGCTTCGGTTTGGGCACCCGGGCAGTATCACAGGCCTCACACATATCGAATGAGATTTGTGGCGCATATGTATTTGGTGCTTCCTTGTACCAATATCTATGTGTTAAAATAAACAAATAAAATAAAAATAATAATCGAAGTAAAGATGGGAGAGTGTTTGGTTTTTTGTGGAATGCTGCTTATTATTTATTTATACACATAGACATTGTTACGAAAGGCACGAAATACATATGCGCCACACTTTGCCATTCGATTTGTGTGAGGGCTGGGATACTGCTCGAGCGCCTAAACCAAAGCAGGTGGTTTTCTTGGAGAGCCACTCCCCGAGCCTTCGACCTGAAGGTCTGATCCGCAAGGCAGTTGAGCATCGTAAGGAGATGCAGTCCCATAGAAACCGGTGACCAACGATTGGTTCATACACCATTTTTTTCCCTCAGGATACTGGAGCCCATTGCACCATTGGTTTGGAATCAGGGTTTTCCAACTCCCCTAGATCGATCCTCCGTATCGCTAACCCGGTTGAAGCGCCGGACATTCGCCTCTCACCCTCTCAATTTCGTAAAATACACGTCACGAGAAGGCACTGAGTAGGACTTCCGTAGCAGTGACTGTACACGCTTGGCCTGCTCTACATATAACAATGCTCACAATTATCAATGATATGCCAAAAAGAGTTAACTCTACAAACCTAAGTGTCTATCTGTGAGTTAAACAGAAAGGTTACAAACAACACTTACAATAAAAATGGTGTGGCATTTGGGTGCCATTTTCAGCTATGTAATATTGGCTACTCACTTTCGAGACCTTACACTTACATGAAAATCTTGTGTAGCAAGAGCTAATTTTCTAACTAGCATTTTGTAATCCTCTAGAATAACGAACAGACAACGTATTGGTACATGAAGTTTCAAATTAACTGGTTCTCTAATGACCTTCGACTATCATTACCTTCCAATAAACCACAAATACATGTATTTATGTAAATAAGTCGCGATTTAGAAGATAAATGACAAATATGTTTGCAATATTGAAACCAGTTTTGAGACATCCACTGTGAATTGTGACTAGTTCGTTGATCTAGTAACTGCATAGTCAGTTCAGATGGTCAGTCAATGACTTAGTGGGCTGATAACATGTCGTGATGTGGTTTGTCATATTACCGTGACGACGTAATTAACTATTTATTGTTCTAACTAGTAAGTTGACGCATAGTTCATTCTGATAGATTTGTTGTAACTAATTTCAGTTTTCCGGTTCTGCCGATCCATGGGTGTTTCTAGCTGTTTACAAGTGGTGAAAGGATCTGTGATTTAATTGAATTTGCTATCGAATTAATATGTAAATGTCCACTATTTAATACGTTTTATATTCTCAATGTGATTTGATCATTTTATTAAGTTTCAAAATCTCTGTTGTTTATTTATCAGGTGAGCTACCAACACCAAGAGCACATGCTAAAGGTGGTTTTATTGGAAATCTACTTTATCTGTACGGAGGTTGTCAAAGCTTTCATAGAGCGGGATCGGAACATACGGTAAGAATTACGTTAGACATTTTCTCTTATGAGCGGTGGCTTATTGGCTCTCAATTAGTAAGTTTCTGGTCAAACTATGTTCCACCTACCCTGGCAGCCGAATAATATCACTAGTTCTAACGCAAAATGTGTGGCTCAATGCCGAGTCTGTTATAGTATTAGCCCATCTAACATTCACAGAAGTTAGTTTACAAGAATAAGTTGTGCACTTACATATAAATAATCGTCCTTTGGTCTCTCGTAATTCACAACTAGAATATGGATAGGTTGCTCGTATAGTCTAGGTCACGTATGTCACGTCGGTAAAAATTCCCTAACAAGATGACAAGGTTTTCTCACTGGGCAATCCATACTGATTTGGTTGTATGCCTTCACCTGAAAAGAGCTGAAGTGATTGTGTTCCGTGACTTATTTCAGGAGTAACTTCCTTATCGGCAAAATGAATCCATTCCATGGTCCAGTTTGTTAGTTATTAGAACAATCTCAAAGAAGAACAGACAGATCGTGCTACTCGTTGCTAGTGTTAGTGATAAATGTATATAAAATCATCATTCCAGAAGATACAAAGAGAACACATCTAATATATGTATGCTGTTAAATTCATAATTAGAAAGTATGCTGAGACAGCTATTTGTTACTAGTAAGGACCAACACTAAACATAAAGACAGGTAGACCGTATGTTGAAAGACGTTTTAACTCTGTTCATGCTCTAATATTAGTACGTGCTTGTTTGCCTCACTTGATGCACATAAGTTGAAACAGAAAACCTTTTAACTAGTTTTGAAAATGAGATTGTAAAGAGGATATTTAAGTAAAAATTAGACGGACTTATGAGATGGGGATAAACAGTCGTTAGTATTGCCTTTTGATATATATTTCTTGCAGTAACATTTTGGTACTTTGTCCTATGCAAGATGAGTATTAGATTCATTAACGTGTTGTTAATAAACCTACGCAATACATGTACAGTAGCTCATCTGTATTGGTTATAATATTTTTTTTCTTGTTCAACAAAGTACAAATTGATAGCACTCCATAGAATACTTTGTCCAAACTTCCTGAGTACCCAAAGTCTCGGGTAACACTAGTGGTTGTAACTCATTTCTTTTTAAAATTCATCTAGGGCCGTATGGATTGGTTAACTGAGTTGAATAGTTTTGATATTTCGACAATGCATTGGTCACGTATGCCGTTATACGAAGTAAACCACTTAAGTCCTGTATCACCACCTGCAATTGCCGGTCAGTCTGGATGCTTTCTCCCTAAAGGTGGAATAGGCGAACCTAGTGTATTGGTTTTATTCGGAGGAATGTGTCAATCTCTTGGATTGTGTGTTAACTACTTATTTGTGATATCGCCGGAAAATGGTTGTTGGATTTCACTTTCTGATAAAACGGATAATTGTCAAGGTGACTGGCCATCTGGGCGCTGTGGTCATTCAACTTGCGCTCTTGATTCAAATAGAATGCTTTTGTTATTTGGGAATTTGGAATCACCTTTGGCCACTGATCATTCTGTGCGTCGACAACAAGGAATGTCATTTAATCCTACTTCGAGTAATGATTCTGAATCAACTTCTAGTACACTTAACTATCATGGTCGACCGGCGAGAGATGTATGGATACTTACACGTTGTTCACCAAGTATTGGTCAAGGTTAGTTATTGCAAACTTTACTCGATTTTATTGTCAGTCGCAATACACCAATCTCGTTTATGTTAAACCTCATTATTTGAAGACCTTCCTATCAACTTTAATACTTTTATGGGATTCAACTAAGTTTTTTTAAGTTTCAGTTTATAAATGTAGTATTATGCACATATATATCATGTCCGTCATTTTCCCAACAAGCAATTATTGAACAAGTGAATTCTGATACCCGTCTTGTTAATATTACAAACATGGTCTTATTATTGCTGTCATATTTCTAACTGTAATCTCAAAGAAAGCTTAGATATTTTCACCACTACCTAGATTGAGTTTTCACGTAAACCTTTCTCAATTCAATATAATAACTCATAATTATATCCATCAAGATATCCGAAATTAGATGTTGAATGTTTGTTCGTACTGATTGCCAGAGTACGTCGATGGTCTTTATTTACTCTCCAAGTTTTTAATCTTTATTGTCCAACACCTGTCATCTGCAACAGAGTTCGTGGTACTTTCATTAAGTTTAACTCTAAAAAAATTGGTTCCAATCCAATCTTTGGGGATATGAGTTTCTTCAAGGTTTCACGCATACTTTGACCAATACCTGACGGCAAAATTTATTGCTAGCTATATACTACAATTCAAGATCTTATGTACAACACGCTATTTGGTTAGTTAGCTCAGTGTTAACAGTCCATGGTTTGTTTGGTAACTTTTAATCATTTTTGAAGACTGTTTGGTGATATTCTAACCGAGTATGTAGTTAATTTAATTATCACCTTACTAATAACTCACCAGGACTTATTTATGCAATTATGAGTTTATTTGCCTGGTTGTTACGCAAGCTAAAGTCTATCTACTTTGATGGAGTGCGTTGGAATTAAGATTAGTTTTCTTCGAATATTTCATCTAAAATGTGTAGATGCGAATTTCTTGTGAATATAAATTTTCAATATATTTACTAAACCATCTCTGAGGATTCTCGTGATGTACTCTCATGGATATTTATAATTATTCGAGTATGTATAGTTGTCTGTCATTCTTTTTTCTCAAATCACCTAAAGAGCTGTGTGCTTATTATACAGTGAGTACCATTTCTTTACTTGTTCGATCCTATGATTCAGTGTTTTATACATATTTATATTTCGAAATCGCGTCCACATATTTTTCTTACTAGAATGTCTAGAAACTGTTTGGTAATGTTATTCAAACTGGGTATATTTTAAAGAATGTTGCATTTTTTTCGTAAATAAGATAATATCCTAGTATGCAGACTGCTGTATAATTCTTCAAATCATACCCTTTTATATTCAGAATGGTTTGAAGTCGATTGGTTCTGGACCAAAGTTCAATGTTCTGAGGGTATCCCTGGATGCCCACCGATAGACTTTTATCATGCAACCGCAGTTTCACTTCCATATCGTGAAGACAGTAAGTCACTGTTGTTGACAAAGGACAGTAATTTTATTTCTGTACCGAGTGACAACGTTGGTACAAACAACTCAATTGTACACAATGTCTATACTGTTGTTGTCATCAGTCAACCTACCACAGCATTGCTAGATGAGGCAGCTAAACAGCGCAGATATTGGCATCGCATGAAACTCAACTCCGAGTTAAACAGTGTAACTTTTCAAAATAATTCGGTAGGTCAAGATTCTCGTACGTCAGATGATGATGTCAATGACGAGGATGAGGAGCAGCGTAAACATTGTCATTCAGCTGATATCACTGGTATGAGTATTTTGGCTTTGAACTGCTTCATATATATGAATCACCAAGTAGACTTTTTATTTTATTTTTATCTTGGTAGGCATGTTGTAAAAATACGAATATCTGCCACTATAAAATTAAGTTTATAGCTACTATCTCTTACACTCCCAGCAAACTGTATGGTCCGAGATTGCAATATTGGATTTGATGTAAGGTGAACTGGATCATATATAAAATGAGTATTCATCCTAGTGTTATCGTTCAACTCCCTACTAGTTTAGTTTAGGATGTTTTATAATTTCGTCGCTCACTGTGGCCACAGTAACCATGAAGAGTGTTTTTTGCAACAAACGGACTTATAAAGAACTGATTTTAATATGCGCGTTTCTTTATTGTTAAAATAATTGACAGAATACTGATCGATAGATGATACGCAATAGTACTATATAGCTGACTGATAGCTGCTCACCTGATCGAATTATCTACGTAAACTAATATCACAAGACAAAACTATTGCCCAGAAGAATAGTTTTTTTTCTAGTTAGATGATATGTTGGTATACAAAATAATGGACATACAAAAATATGACTGAATTTCGTTGAACACGTTAGTGGTTGAAGAACTCGAGTTTTGTGGATCATTCTGCCGCTAGTGAGATGAAGATTGGATTATGAGGGTTAATTCTTTTCCGTCGTGTAATGTTCACACAAATACTTAGAGTATCAGTTTCTGAAATAAATCTAAGCTTTATACAGTTTATTTTAGTACCTATGATAGAACTGATCTATCCGCTCACTTAGACATCTACACTTTTCACGAAGATTACCGAGTGAATTTAGTACGTATGGCTTATTACTTGCAAAATTTTCATCAAAATTGTGGTTAGCGATACTACGTAGAGTGATAATCGAGACTAAGGAATGGTTTCGTCCTGTTCAAATATTCTACCATAAATAAAAGTATATGCTTACGCTAAATAGATAGCTTTTATTTTATTGAAATAATGGAGGTTTGTCACTCGTATGCATACTTTTACTTATTTGGATAAAGTAAAAACAAAGACCACTACAAATTAATATGAATTCACTTATTTCTACCACGATCTTCGTTCTTACCTTATTCAAATTGATAAACAGAAAAAGACTATGTTACTTCGGGTTGTGTGGGCTGAATGTTTTTTAGTTCTGTTCTATAAGTTACTCTAATTATGCATTCAATATAATGAATTTGTGTCGTACTCGTAACTATTACACTTTCTAAATATCTTCAATAGTAGTGTTCCTGCCATTCAAAGTAATGTATATAATTTTCTTTAGATAGGAATAACTCGTAGCTAATATAACGAATCACATTGTTCGGTTGTATTTTTTTTATGATTATTAAAAATATATTACTCAACTGTTTGTTTTATCACTTTCATTAGCATTTGAAACAACTAGACCTATATTCTCATAACAGTTTATAATTTAATATTTCTTCCATAGATCGTGAATCGACTGGGATTTTGCAACTTCCGTCATCTAGGCGTGCAAATAACAGACGTGCACGAAGACTTGAAGCTTTAGCTATTCAAGAACGAAGGCTGTTTGGAACACGTAACCTGATCCCTAATGAAGTTAATACATCATCACTTGCTCGATCATTTTCATCAAATCAAAGTTCATCCAATCATAACCAGTATCCTTCTAACCACGTAAAACTTGAATGTGCTTATCGTCCCTTGGCTCTGTATACACTCAACATTATATGCTCTCATTCTGATGCATCATATAGTTCTGAAACTAAAATTCACTTCACAGAAAATAAAGCTAAAGGTGTTTGGTTGGCGCCTGTCAAACAAAATTATCTAGATCTTTATTCCGCACCACCTGAATGCTTAGGTTTTTCATGTGCTTTTGGTCATGGCTGTTTATTTCTTTTTGGTGGTTTGACTGACTCAGATGATATTAGACCAAATGAAAATGTGAATACATTTCACCCATTAGTTAATGGATCGCAAAATCGTAATGATAATGATCTATATCAACGACACAATAATTCATCAACCTTACAATCGTCCAGGTCTTCAGTATTAAATGAATCTCTTACACAAGGACATCTTGTTTCTTGTGTAAATCATTCACCAGATGCAATTTATCCCAGTCCTTTAGGTACCGCTCAGTTTTTCGTTCTTCGTGCACGTGCACTCGCTGGCACTATAATTTAATTTGGCCATTGTTTATTTCGATTGATCCAGGCTATTTGCATGTAAACATGTGGTATATATATATAGGGTCCACTAACCAATTATATAGTTATTTTTTTGTGTTTAAATTATTCCAGCTTTATGTATTGTAGTAAAATGAGTTACTTAGTTTTCTAAATGTGTATTGGCTCATAAAATGTACATAAACTATTCAGTGGTTGTAAATATATTGCTATTCTTTACATAAAACTACGTTGTATTTAACATGCACATGCACAAACTTCTCATCAACTAAGAATTATTACATCAATTACACTTTGGTTCTACTGTGGTCTACTTTTCATTCAGATTTTATTTTCTACCAAAAGTTGTAAATTTTAACTAGCCATAGTTGTTTTCTTTTTCTTGATACCCATTGTTTTGCTGCTCTGGAAATCTCAAGCTTCTATTGATATCAATGAATACTGTTAATGTAGTATAATAAACCGAAGATTCTCTTAGTGATATTTCATGTACTACCGTAAAATATAAGTTTACAAAGTGTTCTATAGTATTTTGATCGATAAGCTTAAATTGGTTACTTGCAGCAAAATGATCTAAATTTAGTAAATATAGATAGCTAATTAGATTGCTATTATGCTGATATCCATTGAGCCTCTACAAAATCGCGTAGATTTTTTCTAAAAATATGGTGTTTTGGTTATGATGATTATTCTTATGAGACATTTGATATATTTGCATACGTCAGATCATAATTAGTACTTTTCATGGCATGGTTTCATAAGAGTATTTGGTACTCTGTTTTCATCAATATTCACTTGTGATACTTAAAAAAGCATCTTACTGTCAGCTTTTTCTTGAGTATTAAGTTTCTTCAGCTGATGTTTTACATTTGAATAAGGATTTCCTTAAGAAACTAACTTAAACAACCACATAATATCCACTCACGAAGGTTAATTCATGACCGTTTAGAATGGTGATTGATATAGGTTCTGAGGGAATTTCGAAAATTATCAGACAAAATATTTCCATTTTAAGGGATTTCGATTATAGATTTATTGGTATTGCTTATACCTATGCTACCTTGGTGTTCATTCATGTTTTGCATGACGATTGTGCACTCATGTATAGATAAAATCCGTAAACCTGATCAGTTTAGACAAGTCTTCTGTAATATACTCTACGGTTGATTAATTACAGTCCTAAACATCAATGTGAAGATTCAAATGAATCAAACTTCACTCCATTGCACGATCCATTGACCATCTGGACTCAGTATCTAAGCGGATAATGCGTTGGAGTTTGAAGCGAACGGTACTGGGTTAGAGTCCCTGAGTGAACATCAACTTTGGGGTGCAGGTACGTCCAGCTGACGAGTCCCAAGTAAGACGAAGCGCCGTCCAGGATTCTACTGCTAGCTATGATCATCTCTGCTTATAATCCCTGTGACTAAGGGCAATATCGAGGCATTTCGCACATATGCCAATAAGGGACTGATCAATTGCAGTCCTAAACATCAATGGGAAGTTCTAAACAACCAATACAAAAAAAGTATTATTTGTTTAGCACCTTAAAATGTTAAGGAATCAACATAACTTGTGATGATCATGGGCAATTCTGGGTCTCCATATATACAACATAAACACTTTACAATTCCTCGAGTTCGAACTACGAAATTCATGGGATTATCACACCTCTCCGTTAAGTGCGATTAGTGCCGTCGTATGGGGACACGTTTCAACAGTTTGTGATATCAAAAATGAAGTCATGCACTTCTATTCCGACTCGGTTGGTTTCATGGGTTACTGTTTCTAAAACAATTTACTAGTAGTATCTGGTTTACTAATAGATTTCTCAAATAAATATGAGGGCGTTGTGGAGGGTAGCTATGATCTGTAGTCAGATAAATCGACACAGATTACCCGCTAATGGCATTGTGGTATTCAAGCTATGTTAAGAACTGGCAAGTGGGTGGTTGGATTTGGTGCTCAAGTGTCGACATTTTTAATTTGAAGTTATGGACGTTCTTGGTCACATTAAATGCGACGTCAGTGTCGAAAACCTAAGAAAAATCAATTTAACCTAAATCTGCTGTGAATTTAAGAACAAAAATCCCATATTAAATATGTATCATGAAGATTATAATTTCTCACCTCTGTAGTAAATGTCTTGAACAGGTTATAGACACGTAGGATTTGACAACACTACTGTTTGAAATCTCTTCTTACAAAAAGATCCCAAAGCCAATAAAATCAAGAGTAAGGAATTACAGGGTGCGGACTACAGATTACAGACTACGGATTACAGATCGATGTACCGCACAGTTAACGATTCCAAACTGACTAGTTGTAGATGCTTATCACGGCGCACCCAAATGTGATTCGGTGCGGATGATTGACCGAATGCCTTCAGCTAGAGGTGAGTCCAATAAAACTGGTAAGACCAACACATGTCACAGAGCTACTTATTTAGGGGATTTATTTACCGTTATATATCTACTAAGCGTCTTGTCCATTAGTGTCTATCTAAAACTGGGTTGTTTTAGTGAGATCTTTAAGGCTGATCGTACAATTTTTCAGGGTTGTTAAGTTAATGTTAGTCAGGAAAGACAAGTTTTTTTCCTAAATTATTCCCATTATATATTTATACACTTATATACTATGATTAGGATAGAGTAAACATTACCGGTTCTAAGCAGACGTAGGAAACTGGTATGTAAAATTCGAAGTAGTTCTTCTAAAAAGTTAGGTACAGTTTATTCTGGGAAGTAAATAAGGAAAATTCTGATAGCATTTGTTTCTAAATTCTTTACATATTAATAGCATAAGGGTAAATTTACATCTGCAGAAGACAGATGAGAAGTTTTGAGTTCAAAATAATTAAATAGTGAGCAACAATTAGAAATTAATAACATGAAGTTCATCGAAGAGGTCTCCAATTTTAGCAGTCAGCTACGACGTAGGACCAGGCACATATATGCATCGGTTCAAGTTGCCATACCTCATTAACAAAACAAGATGGACACGGGATTCATAAAAGTAGTTAATTCAGAGATGGTAATATATAAAAGAAAGATTGCAATAAGGATATAGTACAGGAAGAAAGAATTAGTTCGTAGAAAGAAAGATATGAAGCGATTTTAATCTCTTAGTTTAAGAGAAGACAGAGAGTGTATACACCTACGCCATTGTGATGGATTCTGAGCCATGTCACCAAGAGTCTAACCACTGGTTACGATAGTTACGCGGACCCCAACCAAGTAGTCTGCATCTACCAACATGACTCAGACTAGAAGTTAGTGACTTCAAGCACTGATGCCACGTTTTGGTATGGCCGCCCCCAACTTTCTTCCAACCATTTCCAACACCGGTTAGCATTGCACGTCGTGGTAATCGGTGTTTAGGCATACGTACCACGTGGCCCAACCATCTCAGTCGATGAAGATTAACAACCTCATTAACTGATTTACCATCATTACCTAATACCCTGCGTCTAACCTCACTATTACTTACCCAATTTTAGCAGAGTGTTTCATGGCAAAATGGGAAAACGACCAACTCATTCCAATGATTATTCGATTTCATCTATACGTAAGATAGATGGACGACAAATTTGTCGTCTGTGACGATAATATTGAATTAGAAGACATCTTAAACTCCTTCAACAAATGCCACCCTTCCATAGACTTTACATTAGAAAGTGAGCGAGACCAGTCAATCTCTTTTCTCGATGTGCGTCTGATAAGAAGGAGTAACGGTTCCTTAAAAAGATCCATATTTAGAAAAGAAACATGAAATGACCAGCTGACAAACTTCTATAACTGGGTTCCTTTAAGCAGAAAGAGAAATATCATTCACTCTTTATGTCATCGAATCCATCGGATATGTAGTACCCATTACATTGACGAAGAACTCGCATTCCTCAGAGAAATTGACGAAAAATGGCTATCCAGACCGCTTCATAGATAAAAATATGAAAAGAAGTAGTTGTGTCAAAAAATATGGTTGTTCCGTTACAAAGAAAAACCTCTACATAAGTTTGGAATTTAAAGGTGATCGAATTTCTGATGTAATAAAAAATCGTCTAACGATAGCGAACGAAAGAACGTTCAATGCGGTAAAACTGCGAAAAATCTCCAGTAGCAGGAACTTATTTTCTGTATCCATAAAAGATAAGCTTCCCCGTCTGGTCGCCTCCACGTGCATTTACCAGTTCACCTGCTCTTGTGGAGCAAGGTACATTGGCCGTAGCCAGCGATAGCTTCCAATTCGGATACGGAAACACGTCCCAATTTGGTTCTACAAGGGCGAGAGGAAGGCAGTCAGGAGTTCTATACGTGAACACCTAATCGAAGTATGTAAAGCTATGCCCATGGATCGCTTGTCGCGTAAAGCTGACCTCTCTGGATTTTATCGATTTTATTTGTATCTACTGACTCATGTACTTCGCTAAGATCCTTCAGAAGAATTTTCTATGTATTGCACCAAGGTTTATCTATTTAGCTAATGTACGAAAAAATCATCGCTGAAAGAAACAATGATATATATATATATATATATATATATATATATATATAGGATTCTGTGAAAGTTTGAGTTACAGAGTCATGACGTTAAAGAAACATGGGAAATACAGTCAATCATTCAAGTGTTTTGGAAAAAACACATACCCATGGATATCGAACTACTGTTTTGACGATATCGGTAGTAGAAATTTGTCTCGTAGTAAGTTTGCTGATCACGACATGCACACGCTGATGAAAATACACTTCCAATAAAGATTAATCGGGTTCAAACGAGTGGGCAAACCAACAAGACTCAAGTCAGTTTGTCACACATATCGCTGAAGCTACATCCATATTCTTTAAGTTCAACACATTATCTATATTACCATTTTTAGTAGTCATCTTTCATAAAAATACACTAAAACGACCATTTTATGGAAAAATGAAGAACTTACAGCGTCTAACAATAAGTTAAGAATATCTGATGCGCTAGTAGCCTGTAAACTTGACTTTTCTTTATATTCATCTACACTCCTTTTTACTAGTTATATTTGTTCCCTCCAAACTATATTTTAAATGACAGCATGCAAAATAGTGCTCCCGAATGCCTTATTTTCTTACTTAAATTTCCTCCTATTGTGATGATTTGAAGAGTGGTAACTTGGACTGATACTCATTTATGCTATATACTTCAGGGTGTTTTTTGTCTGACTAGTGACAAAGTCTCAGATTCAAAGCAGTTAAGGCTTCTAATGATTTTGAACATCTTGAAGGTTTAAAGCATTTTTAAGTAGTTTTGAATTACTGCAGACCAATAACAGAATAGTCCTACTATCCGGAAACAGCAATAAAAAATGTTACAAACAATTTATTTTTGTATTTATTTTATATACAGTGAAAATACCATATAGTTTAAATTTCAGGACCTTCTCCACCAGGCACCATCATAACAATGTTACTACCATTCAGCAAAATATGTGGCAGTTTTGTTATACGTTTACCTTGGGCTGTAAACTCAAATTCAGTAACGTCAGCCAAGACCATGTTTACGTAACCATCAAAACCAAGCAACGTTCCCACCATTTCTTTATCATTTTTCATGATTATATGAATCTTAGAACCTATGCATTTGTCAACCAGTTCAAGGGGAAGAAGTTGAGGTCCAGTCAGTGACATTTGAAGAGAATCTAAAACAAAAATTCACATGTTAATTGCCTGGACAAACATGAGATCATGAATAACTAGAAGCGATCGAAACCTGAAAAATGCTTTACTTGAGAGGAAAGTATACTGCCAAATTTGTGAAAGAAATGGCTATATTCCGGTATAAAGATGTTTGTATGACAGTTCACCATAAACTCTGACTCAACTAGTAGTCGAGCAGAGCTTGTACAAGGTTGATGTACTTCATTAGTATTCCTTACAACGACACTGTCATAAAGCCTGTCGACTAACGGAGCCGAAAGCTGCCTGAAGGTCAAGAAACACAACTACGGTTGTGAGTCGTTTGGTCCACACACCAATCCCCAGGCCTGAAATCAATCTGGTTTTGCCGACTTTGGACTTCACGAGGCCAAGTCAAGTCTCAGATGGTTATTGAGGCTAATATTTCAGATACGATATTAGTTAGACTGATTCTTTCGTCGTTATCACAAGAGGATTTTCGTCCTTTTTATGTACTGAAACGATTAGCGATCGGTACCAGTCAGGTTGGATGATATCCAGTCTCTAGCTAAGATCTCAAGAGACCTGCTGCATCCCCACGCCATAAATTAGCTATGACATTTTCTACTTCACTAAGAGTTGGAGAGGATTACGTTGACATACCAGCCAAGTTGCTTGATGAAAGCAGACGACTGAACGGTGGTCGGAGAGCAATTAAACTGTTCTTCAGTGCTCTGCCTATTATTCCAATCGCCTAGGTTGAAAATGGAGCATTGTCCCATTTTTTTAAAAATATACAATCCCAATAATCCCAGGATTTTCAATACTTATTTCCGTCCGAAAAGTTCGTTCTTGCTGTCTGTAACACGATGTTACTTTTTAAGCTCGAAATTAGTGCTTGCTAAAAATATACGGTTGCCTGAGAGTAGTTGCGGCGGGCGGTTACAGCTATCTGTTCGTTGAACTGACACAGTAACACACCTGGGTGTCTTTCGTTTCGGCTTGAAATGCCAACTTAGGCGTTAAAATCTGGCACAATTAGGTTGGAGAGTGTAGTTTTTCGACATAAGGTTCAAACAACGAAAGCTCTAGCACGTGGTTTTACAAGGAAAGAAATAGCATCTCATGGATTTGAACAGTCAGCATTGGTAATGCTTAGGGATAGAAATAAATCCATAGGACAAGGGTTAATAGTCAAGATAGAAGAAATATTGAGAAGTGACGAAGAGACTTATTATTATTTGGACAAACAGATACTGGTACAAGGAGGCACCAAATACATATGCGCCACATAAATCTCATGAGTTATTTGAGGGCTATGATAATCCCTGGGTGCCCAAACCGGAGCAGGGACTCGATCGTGAACAAAGTGATATCGGGTGATGTTAGAAGAGGACGGTGTGGAACAATCAACTGAATGGAATTCATCACTCTACATCAACTTCATTGACTACGAAAAAGCATTTGATAGCGTGGACAGAAAACTATGGAAGCTTCTTCGACATTACGGAGTGCCTCAGAAGATAGTCAATATCATACAGAATTCATATGATGGATTACACTGCAAAATCGTGCATGGAGGACAGTTGACAAAGTCGTTCGAAGTAAAGACTGGTGTTAGGCAAGGTTGCTTACTCACACCCTTTCTCTTTCTCCTGGTGACAGACTGGACCATGAAGACGTCAACATCTGAAGGGAAGCATGGGATACAGTGGGCATCTAGGATGCAGCTGGACGATCTAGACTTCGCAGATGATCTGGCCCTTCTATCCCAAACGCAACAACAAATGCAGAAGACGAACAGTGTGGCAGCAGCCTCAGCAGCAGTAGGTCTCAATATACACAAAGGGAAATGCAAGATTCTCCAATACAACACAACATGCACCAATCCAGTCACAATTGATGGAGAAGATTTGGAAGATGTAGAAACTTTTACATATTTGGCAGCATCATTGCTGAACAGGGTGGATCTGATGCAGATGTGAAGGCGCGGATCGACAAAGCAAGAGCACCATATTTACAACTGAGGAACACCTCGAACTCAAAACAACTGTCAACCAACAACAAAGTCATGGTTTTCAACACAAATGTCAAGACAGTTCTACTGTCTACTGGGGCGGAAACCTGGAGAACTACGAAAGCCACCATTCAGAAGATATAGGTGTTTACTAACAGTTGTCTACGCAAAATACTTCGGACCCGTTGGCCGGATACTATTAGCAACAACCTAATGTGGGAAAGAACAAACCAGATCCAAGTGGAGGAAGAAATCAAGTGCTGGAAGTGAATAGGACACACGTTGAGGAAAGCACCAAACTGCGTCACAAGACAAGCCCTCACACGAACTCCTCAAGGCCAAAGAACACATTACGCCGGGAAATGGAGATAGACATGAGAAAAATGAACAGGAATTGGATGGAACTACAAAAGAAGGCCTAGGACAGAGTGGGTTGGAGAATACTGGTCGGCGGTCTATGCTTCTTTAGGAGTAACAGGCGTAAGTAAGTAGAAGAGGACGGTTGTCACTCCTAGGTCGTCCGCATAGTGAGAGAACACTTCACTTCAGGTAACTCGGAAGAACTGGGTTAGTGGAGGTTCTATAGAATTGGTACAACCTAAAGGGATAACTGTCCCAGCCAATACAGATTGATCGGGTCATTAACATAGACAAGCGCAACCACTACGTTAAGGTAGTGGCTTCGGTCAGCGACAATATTAGTATTAGTCTTTAGTCAATTTGAAAAAAACCCAATTACTTTTACTATGATAATGATCAGTATCGCAAGTAATAACCAACCCTACAGAGTTAATGAAAAACCGTAAGGTTTGGAAAACACAATTTGTCTAATGTTTACCAAGGATAGGTCTGGTGTTTACGACTGATACTGCATAATGCTAGATGGATGAAAATTTCTACATAGTATCAACGCAAACTTTACAAAGAAACAAGACATTGTAACATTACAGCTATGGATAAACAATTTGTTAGAATTAGCTTAATTTAACCACTCATTAATCCGGCCAATACCCGGGACCTGTATAATTAGCGAAGTTAAAAACACCAAATATGTTTGGAGTATATACTAGAAGAATTCTTCTAGTACTAAAAGGATTATATGCGTATATGCAGGTAAAACCAACTCATTTAATAAACAATTTATATTGAGTCTACAGGAATAAAGCCACAATTACCAACAACGTCTGGAGAACCTAAACCCAAACAAAGTACAACGTCTTGCGTGAAGCCAGAAGGTATTTTGAATAATAAAAGAGCATGAAGAGTGATGTGAGGAATGGAAAAGGAAACAAAAAATGAGCCAACGATTCAGAAAGAGCACACAATGCACTTACATCTATTAAGGAAAGCAACAGACAACAATCACCGACAGTACAAGTCCCAGACAAACACAAACTTCAAATCGAGCAAATAATCCAACCAGGTATAAGCGCACAATTTTGTAGTAACACCCTGACCTCATAAAATGTTCCAATGCAAACTTTAATTCACAAACTCCACTGAGTGACCACAAGTATATTTTGGATTTTGATCCCCAGTCGTTAGTGATAGAAAATATGAACCATTGTGTAAAGGTTCTGGGTTTCATAAGAAAGAAAGAAATAATGCGTCAAGTTGCCAATGTCTTAAAACTTTATGAGTAGTTGGTGTATATTGGTGAACTTCCGCGAGCTCGCGCCTTCATGATAAGATACCGTTCCAGGTCTTCAGTGGTTACCAGTTTGGAAGTGAACAGTAGGTTAAGGGACTTGTGATAACTGTAATGGTAAATAAATCCCCAAAATCAATAATTCTGTAAATTTTCTATATTTAATGCTGACCGCAATAGTTCTACTGGGCTCACCTAGCTTGAGATGCTCCGTCATTCATCCGCAACAGATCACAAGTGAGTACGCCGTGCTACTCATCCCTTTCATCTAACGGCTGGCTTGGACCAAACGGTCCTTCAACATACTGATAGTTGTCAAATAGATTTACCAACCCCTTCATCTCTGACTCTTAATTTGGCTGGGTTAATATACTTAGATTATACAGGTGTTAAGTGTAAGGGCGTTGTCAAACTCCAGATATCTGTGGTATCTGTCGTTGTGAGACCGACGTGATCTGGTACATCAAACAATAAACTGTGAAACTGTCCTTTATGGGAACATTTTATATTACTTTTTAACTTTTATTTTTACAATCATATTAGCTTTGCATTTTCAGATATCCTTTCTGGCTCATTTTTATATCTTATTTTTATTATGGCACAACAGACATCTAAGCTGTTTGAAATTAAGACTACTACGCCTCCCAGTTTTCAGCTTGTGCCATTCTGGCCTGACAATATAGAAGCCTGGTTCTGCTACGCAGAAGCTGACTTCCACGAGCACGAATTGACAGACCTACGTGAAGAATCCCTCGCAGTGGTGAGTGCACTAACGCGTGGTTTTAACAGCTGTCTCACACCTAGTAGGTTTACTAGTGATGTTTCAGAACCTTACGACACTCTAAAGAAGGCTTTCCTTAAATGGAGAGGCCTAACCGACCGAGAAAGTTTAGATCAGCTTTACCACGAAATTGAGTTGCGGTACGACTAAGAGTTGTCAAATTCTGAATATATGTGGCTTCTGTAACGGCGAACCCGACTTGATCTGGTACATCAAACAGTACACCATGAGTCTTTCTCTTATTGTAACGTTTCATATCACATTCGAACTGGGAGACACAATCGACCTAAAAGGCCAGACCAGCTCAGCCACAACATCAAATTGCGACACGGCTTAGCAACAGAACTGTTGCTACTTATGCGAGGTCATTGGTCGATGAACCTTCGATGAAGACCATTTAAGAAAGCCGTTCTCACTTGAGGTTTCTAACCAGTAGCAAGCGGTTCTTTTCTCACTCCAAAATAACTCCGTCAACAATCTGGTTGTATCGAATTTTGAAGATTATCCGAACCTTCAACACGCACTCTTACTTCGTCTAAGAAAGGTCTCAAAGGATTCATAATGAC